CCAAAAATCCATAGAAACTGATTTATATCAGCGCGAAAGACACATTTGGCGAAAAGCTCGTTTAATTCAATACCCTCAGTACACCTTTGTTACGTTTTATGTCAATTTGCATGTCCGGATTCCTCAGCTCTATGTGAGAATGCAAAAAATATATCGAAGAAACGGGTCTGGGATGCGGCCCCAACTGTTTTATTTCTCGTCGTTTGCGCGCTTGGCAGTCTTCGGACCACTTCCAGAGTAGGTTTTTTCGGCAGATATACTCTTGGAAATAGTCATTTACTTGCGAAGCACTGTATTGTTTTATAGATCAGGTCAACTTTAAGAGCCAATTCCGAATCCGAAAAGCTCGGTTGTATCTCTCTTTCTCAGCATAACGCGTCAAGTTTAACAAGAGACTATGAGAGAGTGTAGGGAACCTCACATCAGATAGATGCCTCGCTCACTTTAGTCACGACAACATAATCTGTCAGCACAAAATCGTGGTGCTTCACTACTCTGCACGGTGCGCGCGTCACACTGTATCCCTGACTCCTCGATATCGCCACACATTATCTAGGGTGAACTATCCTTATTGACAACAGGACTTGGACCTTTTACTTGTAATGGTCGTGAGAGCTTGACTCATCTGAAGACCAGAGCTCACTATCGCTTCTACTTTACGGGATTCGCTCTAGAAATCGCTCTGACTATTATTTGGCAATCCCATGTTCTCTACCAGCGTTTCATATCCACAGGACAGCTCCAATAATGTTTCACATATAAGCATAGAGAACTCGCTTACTTAAAAAAATACCAGATGAGGAGTGCGTTGTATGTTAAGTCTAGCTCGAGAACAAAAAAACTAAATTCGGAGTTGCCAAAGGCCGACCTGCTGTGTGAAATTCGAATGACAAGCTATGTCAGAGGATAGAGAGCTATGATAAAGTGAATGTCGGATAACCCTTTCAGATAAAAATGGTATCACTTGTCGTATTTGGATAGGGTGTTCATTTAAAGGCGATGTACCGAGTATCTCGCATTTACCTAAAGTTTGGAGAGGGTTGCGTTTAATCCGAAACACATGTCTTGGCGAGGGCGCGAGATATGGAAGCTCAATGAGCACGCCAAAGGCGATAATCCATAAACGGCTGGGAATAATCACATTTTGTTACGATAAGCAGCATCATGGTACGTTTGAGCTTCACAGTACTGAAGATCTACATACCGCGTGTCTCCTTCTCTAATAGTCAAAACATACGATTTGTCAAGGAACTACACAGGCCACGCAACAGGATAAAAATCAAATTCCGATTTAATTGCGTGTTGCCGAATGCAATGAAACCTAGCCTAAAGAAAGCAACTACGTTTAAAGAGAACGAGGACTCGATTACAGGGTCGTTGATTGACAGCATCAGTGTTCCGACAGCTGTTGTAACCAAGAAAATAGTCTGAAAGCCAAACCAAAAGGTGCAAAAACTCTCGACATTTGTCGATTCTCAGAACTCACCAGGACAGAACTGCCTCGAACACTGAGGTTTCGATTTACAAGTCCTCCAACACTGCGTCCACCTTAAAGAGTAAAGACAAAACACACTGTCTTTTGTAATTGCAAGAGGACGAGCTAAACATGTGACCGGGCAAGCTCGAGAAGGACCGTCGTGCCAACAATTATTAATCTAAGCTACCACCCGCAAGATGAACAGAAATATTTATTAACTGCTGGCTGAAACTTCAATTGGGGCGTCTCACTAACGCCTTTTAACATCTGGCCAACGTCTTCAATCATGCGGTGAACGCTTGTGAATCAATCCAGGAAGCGTTTGACTTTTATCGTCTATGTTGATAGGTACTAAATAGCTTTTGCCGGTTATCCGTTAGATGCTGAGCTGAGAACTTCTGACGTAGGTTCTGGTTATCCAAAATATTTTCTCAGATGAAGCCCACTAGAGAATTGTATACAATCGAATCAAGACGACAAAAGTTATAGCTGTGAAGCAGCAAGTAGAATTTGTGTTAATTTTAAACACTCAATGTAGCCCATGATCTTCAATAAAGGAAGAAAGAGCCCACGATTTTCGTGAAGCCAACGCTAAGAGACAGACTTTGCAACGAGTTATACGCAACATTATCGAATTTTCTGATTAGGCAAAGGTTGAAAGCGGCAAATAAATTTAAAGTCACAATTTGAGTTGTACAATACGATTTTAAATTAAAACGTAGTAATGGCCCACATAAAATAGCATGCATCAGTGGGCAGACCAGTAACGTCGAAACCAATAGCAGAATTGCTAGCTGTAGCACTCGATGTTTGTAATATAATTGCATTTTGATGAAGATTGGGAGATTATAGCTCGATTTATAGTGCAATGGACGAATCAAATTTTTTGACTTATCACTTATGCCGAACTTGTCTGCAATTAGAAGAAAATTCACATCTCAATGACCCGACAAAACACGTTGTACCATAACATTTTTTTGTGCTTTTCTTTGCTAGCGGGTAGCCACATCCTCGTGGCGTGTTCAAATATCGCTGAAATTTATTACATTGATTATGTATGCTATTGCCGGCGTGGTATATGTGTTGTTCATGCCCAGCCAGATTACAAAAGCAAAAATACCTTTTGGAGGATTCTGCAAGAAGTTGAAACAATGGATTTTAGAAAAATGATTGTTGGGTATAGGTGAGAATTTTTCGGAGATCTGTTGAGCGGTGTGACTAGCGCAAACTATACACTATTCTCCTATTCAGGACGACTACTCTTACTGAGATGAAAGCTGCGGTGAAATAAGTGAAGATTGATTAGGCCACCTCAACCTCATTGCCTGGAATCAAACGTAGTTTCGAAGCCTTGATAAACTGTTGAGTATGGCTGAGCGCGCTACTAGATAACTGGTGAAATGTGTCCGTGCTGACAAGATTGCCCTGACCACGGTGCTGCTTACAAATCGAAGCTTCTTCAGTCTTTATTCTTTGCGGGGCAGAAAAGGAGTTGCATAGCGCAAATGTATTTCACAAGCAAGCAAAACCCGGCAATGTTCTCATGTCGAATTGAAATAGGAAGAACAATTGACATTTAGAAAAATGTGAGCTGATACCATCCACCTCGGTGACCATATCGTGCTTTTCTATTTACTTGCTTCAATAAAATGGTTTCATAAGCAATGAAAATTTCTAGGTGACATGACTTCTTCACCAAGGAAGCCATTAAATTACGATGAATTTGCTACTGCGCCAGCATTACGGTGATCAAGGAGGGTATACATTCTAGCGACTGCGGCCGCTCCAGGTACAGGTGATAATCCAGCGGGCATGTAAAAATGGGGGCTGACAGCGCTCACGTAGAAGCTTTCGAGCGCTGATGTTGCTCGCTAATGTAGCGCAGGGATTGCACACATTTGCATGTGAAGAAACAAGAGCAATTTTTGATAAACTAACCTGTCGAAATCAGCTCTTCAGTGAGGTGAAAGACCAGGAATTTGAGCGTATTAATACGGACTTGTAAGATAAAGACCTAACATGTGCAAGGTGTACGCCACCTCCGTTGAGAGCACCTTCATACTTAACTTACAACTAATATATTTCTTTCGAGTTTCTTCATCTTGTTAATTGAGGACACGCGTAATGAAAATCTGTTTTATCTTCGAGGATGCAGCTTGCTTGGACATTTAAGCCAACATTTGGGGAGTGCACGCTTGAATGCGCTCCCCACCTCCAAAACCGCGCTGAAAAAATACCTGAAGTTTGTGTAAGCTATACCGACTCTCAAAGCATTCGATTTGCCAGACCTTTTAGTGAGACATAATCTTCGTGCCATTTGAAGACAAATGCGAAAAATTTAAAATTTGATAGATAACAAAGGTTATGAGAGCCCTAAATGTGACCCCTCCCAGGTAGAAGCAACAGCTTAACACGCAACAGATCTACCAGCTGAACGTCGCACAATAAATAGTATACTAATGTGCAGGGCCTCCGTTAACGGACCCAAGTAACAGATACCAGGAGTGTCTTTACTGCCTAATCGAGCTCATCGCGTGTGGTCATGAACCTGGCGGCCGTCCGGGAGAGATTAAGATGGAATATGTCCCAAAAAAAATAATTTTCTCTTACAACTTTTTGTCTGACCAATTACCGAAACTACTATAGACAGTTACAGTGGTTTCCCTTTCAGGTTGCAAATCCCATCGACAATTCGTTTCCTTCTGAACATTGGGCGGGTGTTGTGTCGAATGTTGAGAACACTCCGTGGCAAGGGTCGGTTTGTGCATGGGACGCCGAGGCTCGACATAGGTAATTCGGCTGTGTACAAAATCGTTTATAACTGTTTCGTATTCGCAGGTGATGCACGTGTGGGAATTGTAAGTAGCTCCTCCCCACTTTCGACAGAAGATCTTACAATGCTAAATGAATCAATCGCTCAGGGAAAAGCTCACGGTATTGCAGCAGGATGATGACCTTCCCGAGATGGTACGGTCGGCTGGTATCAGAGGAGGAGCCGTGGTCGTCTTCTTTCAAAAACATGAAACGTACTGTATCTAACACATTCTGTCAGTAAAATAGGAAGGTTGCAGAAATTGCTCGATACACGTCCCTACTGAGATGAGAACCTCACTAAGGTTCACACATTACTTTTCTCTTACGATCTTGCTGATAGTGACCGTTCCCTGAGCAATCAATGAGCCTAGAATAGTACTTCAGTCTGTGTGTGCTTATGCGTTTGAGCCTTCTGTCTACACTAAAATAATAATGACCGCGACAAAGCCGTCTCACAGAGAAGGTTTCTCAACCCATAGGTTAACACATTCCAAGGAACCTGTTTGCACTTGGAACGGCAGTGGTAGAGATACTTTCGCTTTCGGATGAGTGTCCTACCGCTACGTGGAATGTTCCATGACAGTGGTCACCCCTTGCTCACCGGCAAGTGCTCGCAGAGGCGCGTCAGGCCCCACGACCTCTCTTGTTTTGATGGGACGGCAAATATCTCCAGACGTCACAAGATCTATCTGTGACTAAAGTAAACCTGGTTTTGGATTTGACTCTTATACAGCGATGCACTACCTGGCTTAAGACATCCCAAGCAAGTTGCACGCGTCGCTGCCATGGAACAGAGGGTGTTTCAGCTATAGGGGCATCGTTGCTTCTTCTGCAGAAGAGCTCTCCACATTTGACGGGCTTATGGAAGCGAGAATCGTAGTATGGCTCCAGTAAGCCTAAGTAGAACACAATAGTACTTTGCAATCTGTGTGGTACATCCATAGAATATTTTAATCATTTATTTGCTACCGTAGCCGCAACATAGTTGTGAAAATACTCATGCGCTGCATGTAGGAAGATTTCTGCAAAAAGATAATCCGCCTGAAAACAAATAGCTTTGTGTTCCGTCTGTTTCTGCCATTGGCGGGTAGGTTATATGCTGCCCAAGCTCTCAGCCTAAGCGTTGCCCACCCTGCGCATGACGCTGAATCTCATTTGCGATACAATTTTGAGCTCCGATTAGAAGTAGTCTGGGTGATATCATCAGATTCGACAACTCTTGCCGTAAAAGAGCCAGAGCCACTTTGTGGCCAGATCAATACCCTTCGGGGGCTAACCAAATTATTAACGTAAGATGGGTCATCTCGTTGAGGCATGTAATGCCATATTCAACGCAATCTCAATGAGTCCAGCGCCGTGGTCTATCTATGCAAGTGCATAATAATCTCCATCACACCATTTATTCGTTTTGTCTGACCATTTGAGTGTAGATGGTCGGTGGTTGACATATTTAATCGGGTGCCAGGCACCTAAGCCAAAAATAGACTTTAGAGCGCGGATCTTTATCTGATAGAGTGGCTACCGGTTATGTAATAGGATTCACGTGCTGGTATGAAGGATGTGGGTCACACAAGATAATGTGACCACAAAATGGTGTGGCTACTCTTAAACAAGAAGTCAGTACGTACATTTAATTAAGTTTTACTATATAGATCGGAAAACCTATAGATTTTGATATAAGCGGCTTTGCCGCAAATAAAACTGAAATATACGAAGTATAGCCTTGGGTCAAAGTTGTAACTCCTCTTGGAGTAAGTGGATCGCGACCCGCTATACTCGTACTGGTTTTGGTGTAGAAAGAAGGTCACCGACCTTAACCAAATTCCTCTAAGCGAAAGAGCTGTGGCTGTCCCGCTGTAGGTTGGTGATCTATTTGTAGTAGAAAAGCTTGCGGCGTTAACTGTAACGGGGGTCACACAAAATGGTGTGTGTTACACAAAATAATATAAACACAGAATGGTGTGGCTACTTTGAAATAAGGAATCAGTACGTGGCTGAAACAACAAGTAGTTATACATTTAATAAGGTTTTACAAAATAGATAGTAAAACCTATAGATTTAGATATCGGTAGATTGCTGTAGATAAAAAGCCCAGAAATACAGTTGACAGTTCAAACGGAAGAGTTCATTAGCCTTGTATTAAGGTTGTAGTTACTCTTGAGGAAAGTGGATTGCGATCCGCTACACTCGTTCTGGTTCTAAGTACAGAATGAAGGTAAAAAGCCCAGAAATACAGTTGAGTTTAGACGGAAGAGTTCATTAGCCTTGTGTTAAGGTTGTAGTTACTCTTGAGGAAAGCGGATTGCGATCCGCTACACTCGATCTGGTTCTAAGTACAGAACGAAGGTCACAGACCTCAACTGATATTTCTTTAAGCGAAGGAGCTACGGCAGCCCCGCTGCATCAACAATATCGCTGACGAAAGTGCGCATAGACTTCAAAACCGGCATCACCGGACGCGTCTCTCAGGTGATCTAAGAAAAATTCCATACTGATAGACTGCCAGCGCTCTGCCGGGAATCAGCATGCTAGCCAAAGGCCTCACCGCGTACGGCAAAGATTTAAATTTTTTCCACGTAGATTACCTACGCATATCTGTTATTTCTTGTTTGTACTATTGGACCACCAAACTGTAGCGCTCCCATGATGTATGTTTTTTTTTCGAGGCGTCAGCTCGTACTGTCTCGTGTCCCGAGGCGCTTATTACAAGGCACCACTCAATACACACCGAGAAGCCTGTATACCATTGCTAATAATCGTTGTCAAAAGGCATAGCGGTGCAGGTTTACAATCGCGCGCTTCGATAAAGAAGCATCTGGTTTGAAAGTTCTATGCTTCCCAAATATTCTAGCATCGCATCCCATGTGTTGTTGGACTTGCAAGCTGCACAAATTATCTTTCGATTTGGGCAAGTCATCATTGCAGCGGGGTTACCGTGGCGCTTTCGCTTAGAGAGGCTTGGTTAAGGTGGGTGACCTTCGTTCTATACTTAGAACCAGAATGAGTGCAGCGGATCGCAATCAACTTACACCAGGAGTGACAACAACCTTATCCCGAGACTAACCAACTCGTCCGTTCTAAACGTAAACTGTGTTTCTCGGTTTTATTTGCGGCAAAGCTGCCTATATCTAAATATAAAAGTGTTCCTATCTATATAGTAAAACCTGGTTAAATGTAGAACTACTGCCTATTCCAGCCACATACTGACTTTTTGTTTAAGTGTAGCCACAACACGATGTGGTCACATCATCTTGTGTAACACACACCAACTTTTGTGGCCCACGCAATTTCTACAACGGCACGTGAAACCCCCATAACAGCTACTGTGGCACGCGACAACTCACAGTCGGAAAGGGGCAAAAAAAGGTTTCCGCCACCGTATCAATCCAACGCGACTTACATCTTACCTCGAAGTAATAATAGGCGAAGACTTTTTCCAGTCTTTGAGTGACTGAGTGATGACGTGGCTCTGCACAACATAGAGCTCAATTTAAAGCCAAGTAGGTGGACACTGCACTTGACAAAGGATTTTCTCGCGCGTTTCTTTTTGCCCTATCTATGGTGATTCTTTTCAGCAGGTTAAGCAAGTGAGACCCAAACGCGCGATCACGCTTTCGGGGTTATTCGCAAATGCATGGAGTAAAGTGCAGCCTATTGCAGTGATCAAAACGTTGCAGACGGCGTGAATGGTCAGTCCGATATCGATGAATTCACACATGACGCTGTCTTTCACGGTATTGAGACCGCACCCCCACATGGTTTGACTTTCGTTTAGAGCAGATTTGTCAGGGTCGGCAAACTTTGAACCATTATTTTGCTTAAGGTTGGTCAGGCCAAGCTACTTCTCAAAAATGATCTAAGTCGAGGCGTTAGCAGATAGCCTTTATATTCGACAGATCTACTCGCAGACCCTGCTCTCATATGACGGAATTCAGAAAAGAAACTGCACTAATTACACAGTTGTCTTTTCCTCGTTATCCTGCTCGGAACATTTGCCACAATGCTATCTCAACTAGCAGTAAGTAATGCATCAACTACGTAGCAAAATTAAAGCCATCCTTGCTGTTTTGCAGCACAACCTTTTTAAAATTAGCGTTGCACCGTTATAGTTCCTTGATAATTATAAAAGCGTGCACAATTTAATGATTACTATTATCCTTTCTGACACAGAACTTCGACATCAAGTGCGAAGACTTTTTTCTCACCATGCTTCGCTTGGAAGTAAGCGTCAACGATGTTACTCTGTTTTCTTGGCAAGGGACATTACCGTATGGCGGAATATAAGATTCTGAAACCGTGTCGATTTCCGTACGCTTATCCTTATCAGGTAAGATACGCGAGATAGAGGTGTCGTCATCACATCGTGATATTCCTTCAGCTAAAATAAAAGGATTTTGAGTGTCTTTGGAAGAAGTTATCACACCCATCGCACTCAGTGCTCTGCGAGTGTCTCCAATGGCAGATCCCTTTATAAACTCAGCTTTCTCAGGTTTAAAATATATTGCTCGGCGACTTCACCATATCGTTTCTTCTTGCAGATATCAGCTCCAACTGTGCAAGAATTTCTGTTGAAGGTACCGGGAGGTGGCTTACAACACCTTGAACTACTCGGTAGCTCCCTTTACCTTTCGTCACTTTACCGTGGACTTTTACTGCTCCACAAGTTGCGCCCGTCATTCGGAAGTGCGGAATCAACGGTTACGTCGTGTTCAAATAAAATAAAAGTCATCTTTTTTTCTTTTCAGGTTCTTGCTTTTTACTAGCGATCAGTAGTCGTCTGACAATGCGGCTCTGGCACTTAACATGGCAACACCAGGTCGATTCCACTTTCATCGGCCTTGACACAGGATACAGCAGCCCACAGCTTTTTTATCACAATACTGGAGATAAACTCTGCGAGCATATCATGCAGTCGTTCTGGCTGTATCAGAGATGAGCACTGAAGACCGCGATATCCAATCGCATCTGAGACTCCGGCACACTGCGGCATCTGCCTTTCGAGCTCTGCTCAAAGCATTCAGAAATGATATTGCAGTCAGTTTTGGATAGTCTCATATCGTGCATGGAAACAATCACAGCTTCGCCTTCACCGAGGCTCTTTTGTTTCACCATTGCCCCAAAAAGAGCCCAGTAGACCCGGGTTCGAGTCCCGGTGTGCGAACATAGAGCTTTATCTTGTTTCGTGTACAACGTGCTACTTTTTCTTATATTATCATTCCTTTCAATGCATTCAATAAAGTATGAAATGGTGATCCTAAATCTATGCTTGATGTCGACTTGATCTCTGAGCCGAGTTAGTCGTTTTACGATCGGAATTGGAGATCAACTCGTCGTCGCTTCTGGCCAGTTGACCCATTGCTCGTAGATTACCTACCTCTTCATACCTCAACGAGCTCCTATCTCGCATCTGCGTCCAAAATAAGATTGCGTCGACGCCATCAAAATTCCTCAAACGTCACTTGTTTCTTCAACAGAAGCCTTGATATTTTATTTAGTGTCGTCGCTGCAAGATGTAACGATATCGTAACTGTATTTGGTATCTTCATTGCCTCCTTACACTGTTTACCGTGTTGATTATCAACGGTCGTACATAATTGCATGACAAACCTGAGTCTTTCTGATCTTTCCGCGACTTCACAACGCCCAAAACGTTGATATTAGCTAGATACCAACCCTGGAATTTGAGCCTCATCTCTCTTGGCAAAAGTCACTCCTGGAAAGGATGATCTATTTATTGGACACAAATTCCATGAACGAAGTTTGAATTCAGAACACCACTCCCCTGCGCCTTCTGGGATTCGACGTATTCCCGCGAGGAGCTCGGCGTCTGTCTTCGCGGAAGCCCGACCCTATAAACTTTTCAGCCGAGGGCGAAGGGTGCACGCAAGGCGCACATATTTCGGTATTACTACCGATTTTTTATCTGCGAGTACCGCGTAGCTGTCCAACAGATGTGCCATCTCTCTCTTTTTCCTCAGCTTGGCTGAGGTACATCATCTTAAGCGCTCTGTAGAGTGTACACTCTCAGCACCTCAACCTGGCCTGTAGCACGTGTTTCAATTCGTACTCAATGCAAAAGTCCAGCCCGAGTCAAAGCAAGCCGTATATATTCGAAGACCCTCTGTGGAGATGGTAACTGTTTCTGCCTCAGGGAGAGATCAGACGCCATTGTGACGAATACCAAATATCGGTACTTAAGAACATTTCCGATTACACTTAGTATGATATTCGTATAGTCGAACCCCTTTGAAGTTAATCCAATTGTACCAAATATGCTGCTATCAGTAAGTACGCAAGATTATGCCTCGTTGCAACCTTGAAGAGAGTCAATATCCGTTGAAATCTTACCATCGCCCGTACCAAGTAACACTCTACACCGTTCTTTTCGATGATCAAGGTGATCACTTTTATCTGAAGCAGATTTCTGGGTCGGTGTGTTCAACAGATGTATAACCGTTTCTGAGAAATTATTATCTTTACCTCGACAGCGTGGGAGTTCAAAACTCCCCTCGGTACATTTCATAGGGTAGAAGACAAAGTAGTGCAGCGCGGCGCGATTATTATTAACGAGTGGTGCCCAGGTTTGTTCTAATCTCAATATTGATTTAATAGCTATAACAGTAGAATTAGGGATATGAGCAAGCTGTTGACAGCGGAACTGGAAGTGAGGGCTAGTGCCCATCGTCGCACTTTGCACTTCTTAAATACATACGTAGCGAAGTCTTCACTAAAGCTGGCTTTTGCCGTAAATAGGTAAGGTGACGTGCCTTCTTCACGACTCTTGTGATATCATGCTTCGCTTGTCAGACGTCAACGTCACAAATCTATGACGTGTGCAATCATATAAGCTAATTTGAGAGTAATTAGGAATAACTTTTCTCTTTTGAATTTTAAATAAAGACCCTCGATTGTCGTTAATATTGAGCTAGCTTTTGTACATAAAGTTAGGTGCTCATAAACTTTGAGGACAACGATTTTTTTGCTGTATCTTTTACAAAGAGTCACTTCAAAAGGTGAGAATGTAAACATCAAGAAAAAGTACTTTTAGTCGGTAAAGATGGCAAACATAGGTGAAAGGTAGTCCTCAACCCAATCCATAATATTTGACATGCGCAAGCAACGCCGAGCGTGTCTCAAGCACCGCGCCACGATTTAGTGGCCTTTCCTGAGAAATTGACGGTTTCCGCTAACTGCCGAAGTGTCGGCTGATCGTATGAATGGAGAGCTCGCTTATCTACTACCTTTCATTTCTCAACTATCTTCCTTATTGATCGATCCCTAAATTCTAATACAAACATAATGAAGCTTCTATCTCTGCTCTTTCTTGCCATTGCTACAACGGCTGCAGATGAAACGAACCAAACGCGATCAAATGTATCTAGACTGCCGAATGAGCCAGCGCAACCAAACGATTCATCGCAGTCAAGCGCTCAACCGCAGACAAATGCTACTTCGCCATCGAATATTTTATCATCAAATGGTTCCTCGCTATCAGAAGCGGCACCTGAATCAACTTCGACAACTTCTTTAATACCAACCTCGGACTCTAATATGACGCGGACGTCGTCTGTGGGTTCGAACATAGACGCTGGTGAGACTTCAATGGATTGGGACGTAACTGGATCTGAAGAAAATGGCACGTTCGATTTTGCCGCGTCCAGGTCTGCCGCGTCAAACAGCTCCGACGATGTAGATGTGGGCGATTCCATGAGCGTTTCAAGCGGCTCGGAGGATCTTAATTTTGTAAGCGATGATATGTCTGGCAACGAATTCAGCAACAGCGACTTTGGGTCTTACGACGCCGAGAGTGCCACCTCAGAATCTACCGCAGGCTCGAGCTCTGCTGTCTGTGTTCATATGATGAAATTGTATGCTTCAATGTCAATAGCGTTAGTCATTGGAGCTCTCATCTGAACATAAAATTCATTATTGCATTCTTAAAGTAGCATTACAGACACGCTAAAAACATTGTGCGTTTTTTCACTCTTTTCGCATTGTTTTGTGAATACGTTATCATCGTTTCTGTTGTACCTCACACTTTCAAGAAAAATCTTTGCCCAATTACACTGGCACTTTCTCTGAATGACTAACTCTGAAATTTATTATGCCGATTAGTTATCACGAAATTCTCGACTTATACGTTGCTATCATTGTCTCGCGTTTCAGAAAAGGCCGAAAGCAAACAATTCTGTGCTTTTCTGTCGCCTTTCGTTCCACAAACAGTTTCCAAGCAGGACAATCGTTGTAAAACGGTCGCAATATGTCATTTTGCTTACTACCGTCCGTTTCGATTAATCGCCTTCTCCTCTTTCAAGATGGCAGTATAAGGTCTCATTAACACATTTACCACCTTCCTCAACTTCCTCATCAAGTACTATTTAAGAATGAAATTCTTTGCTGCCATCTGTATTACTGCTGCCATTGCTACACAAAGTGTTGTAGCACAGAATGATAGCGCAACGACCATACCACCTTCAGCTCAAGGCATGGTTGGACAGGTTGTGAATGAGATTACCGAGATGTTTGGCAGCGCATCCTATGAAGATTCAGGAAGCGGATCTGGAAATGGCACCACCACCGTTGGTGACGACTCAAACATGGACTCGGAAGATAGCGGAGCAAGCATTCAAATGGTCACTTTCGCTACATCTGCCATTGCTGTGATGATCACTGCTGCTCTCGTTTGAGAGCAATGCATTACATTGTAGACTTCATAAAGCTATTTCAATCAATATAGATTCCCCAATTAAATTTAAAGGTTCCTTAAGTAATATGGCGTGTGCTTCCAATAAATGAGCTGCGTCTGGACGGTGGCGAGTCGAAATTGGCCCTTATCTCGGCCTCTTTCAATTTAAGTTCAATGCGTGTCATTCCGATCGAGAGACGTCTACTAGTCTCAGTTGGTGATAGCATTATTGATTTGTCACGGCAATATAACGGGGGAAGTGAAATAGATTCTCTGAAAGCGCGACTTCGTTCCAGTTTTCGGCCTGATAAATTGTTTTTATCAATTGACGGACGAGATAATGACGTCCTTATTCGTGGTAAGCATTTACTATGCATTACCTTCTTTTCAGCAGCCACCACCACACGAGACTTTGATTTGTCGTGGATGCTATCATTCCTACCCCCTTCAGAATTTAAAGCCTTTGTATGACAACTTTTGTCATCAAACTTGCGTAGTAGACTCAATCGCAAACTGTACCCTCGGTAGATCGACTGAATTCTTATTGCCGATTTGTTGATACGTGCTAATTCCTGACACTGTTGTCGCCGTATCTTCCGTGTTTTTAAATATTTGCGAATTCTTGCCTGAATTGTTATAGCACTTATAGCATTCACTTGAGCGATTCTCTTCTGTCGTAAGACTTGGGCTTGGTTTTTAGCTAAACGGGCACGCACCATCGCCTGCAGCCGAATAGCAGCTGTCAATTTCCGCTGCTCCATCTGGTCCTTCTGAAACTGCAACAGTCGTTGACGACGTCTTTCCTCACCCGCACGACGATATTGTTCAGTTCTTTGATAATCAAGTTCGTTTTGTTTCATCGTCATCATATTGACATATCGAGCGTGAGCAATCGACTCTAATGTCATCGACTGTCCGTGACGAAGACGTCGTTGATGCCGTCGAAATGCGTTCGTGATAGTGCGAATAGCTGCTATTTGATGCTTGTGCTCCCACCACAACGACTTCATACTTTTGAAGTCGTATTTTGCACGGTAACCACGGAAAACACGCTGAATATCAATGACACTGGCTTGGACTTTTCGGACTAATTGAGCCAAATTTTTAAAAATCGCATGTCGTTGTCGATGTGCAAGGTACTGTAGCTGGATCTTTCGCGCATAGTAATTTCTGATGCGCTTTTCATTGTTTAGACGCACCACAACATTTCCTTGTAATTTGTTTTTCTGACCTAATCGTGATGAAGACTCAAAGTGAGTTGACCGTTTTGTGATGTAAAGTCGCAAGCGCTCACAGTTAACTAAAAACTTTTCGTCTGGTGAGGCGGTCGTCAAAAGGATACCTTTATCATGATTTGTATCTTCCTGTCGAGTACGAAGCTGTTCAGTAAGTAAGTGCGATGTTGGCAACTGTGTTGCTATCACATCAGATAAAATCTGCTCGACGCCTCCAGCGAATTTAATGGTGGTAAATGGATCATACACGCTTTGGACTTGCTCTTGTTCTTCCTTTAATCGTTGTTTTTCCAGTGCTTCCAGATCCTTTTCGTCATTAATTGCCGAAAGACATTGCTGTAAGCGATCCCGATCGAAAGTTGGCGTAATTGGAGAGCTGATCAGAGTCTTTCGTAAATCTGCAATATTTTCAGCACTTAAAAGACAACCATTACTCGTTTCAGGCGAAAACGGGTCACATGAGCTGCAATTGTTTTCTATCAGAGATATTTTACCAGCGTAAGGACTTTGCAACTGTTTGAGCATTGTACATGACAACATAAGAGGATTATAAACTGCCGACGGGCCTAGCAACAACTCTAGTGCGACAGATGGAAACAATGATCGTACATCCTCATCAATCTGCAGAAGATAATTTGTCGTCTTCCGTATCCGCCAAGAGAAGCGAACTAACCTCTGACTGTTGCTAACGTGACGCCGTCGATGGCTTGACTTTCGCCACTTTAAAATACCTTCAATAACGGTAGCAGTGGACTGTCGAAAGCCTGTTATAAGTATATCCATATGATGAACGTGGTAGTTCAATCGCTTGATTAACGTCGCAACCTGATTTCTCAGTCTGATAACATTAACTTCAGCCTCGGCGATTATAGACTTAGAATCTGCTGTTTCGGCTGCTGTATCCATAAGATCCGAAGAGAATGACACTGCAGAAGTCAATTCTAATTTTTCTTGAGCGTGTTTCAGCCTATCCTGAACTCGCACAAAGTCATTCGCAAGCGAATCAATTAATGCTGCCTTTTGTTTTAGCTGCCGAACAAGTTGTTCCCGCATCAAAATATCTTTCGTAATAACAAGTTCACGATGAACAAGTCGCGTTGATCGATTTGCCAATGGCAAAGTCAGTGTTGGGTCCATCGGACCGCCTTGGGCATCCAGATGAGCATTTTCTTTCGTGGCTAAGAATGTTCCAGAGGCCCGAGTCTGCGGCAGCACGGTTGTCTGAAGTTTTTCGATCTGGCGAAACGAGGAAACAAGGTCATCGTTTTCTTGTTGATTTTCACAATGTTGACGCATACTAGTTTTCCGTAAGAATCTTGTCACTACCTTAGGTGGGATAGTAGGAGACTTTGTGTGTGTGGTGCAAGTTACAGATCTAGTCAGAGCGTATGAAGTTCTTTCTGAACAAAATTCATCTTCGTTGTTTGATCCTTCTTGTCGTTCCGATACAATTGTTTCTGCATTTTCCTTTGCAGCACATTGTCCATGTCGATGTTGATCGATTTTAAAAATCTTGAGCTTTCGATGGTATCGAGGAGCTTGAGATTTATGACTTCCTTTATCATGTTTATGCTCAACTTGCTGTTGTGTCGAACCTCTTGCCACGAGGTTTCGACGGAGTGCAGCAGCTTTTCTAGGAACAATATCCAGCGTGTGACCATGTTGGTCAGACTTTAAGCATATATGACTAAGAAGGTTGCGATCTCCCTCAATTACGGTTTGACCAATATTCTCAATTGATGATGACGACCCTAGTAGTGAACCTTTCTTCAAGCGCATGGTGGGGAGGTCTGAAATAGCATGATAATTAATCTTGAGATTTTGTTACTAAGTTATGGGTACGTCAATTCATTGCCGGTTATTTTTGCTGAAAGGTTTGTTATAATTAGGTCAATTGAACTGTTGACCTTTTGTAGATAACACTCCCATAAATACATTATGCGTATGCATCATAGTAAATGCCGCTTGGAATTGATCGACAACTAAGCCTCCGATGGAGGTTACGATTGGAATACAAGTTTGGACGAATAAAAATGACCGATGAGGTTTAATCTTTCAGTATTCACCGTAGTATGATACAAAGATATGTCACCGGTTAGATCCAGTACAATGATTGGCTACTAAAAATCGAACTAAATTATCCCTCATTTCCTTACGTTTGTCAACGACAGCATAGTCGGTTAGAAAAGTATGGAGTGGCCGGGATCTATTCCACTATGTCTTGTTCCGTGTGTAGCCAGAGTATGCCAAGATCTGATGCGCAATAAACTGCTTTTGCTTGCCGTTCCGGCTAGAGCGCCGCACTTCTCATTGTGAGGAAAATTTAGCCATATTTGAGAGACGGCCTTATACCGTATCGATGATGATAAAATGTTCGAGAGGTTTATTTGCTGCAGACAATGGGAGAGCGTTTTGGATTTGATTGCGAAATCACCTCGTGTTCCCTTGAGGGTAGCAAATGTGTGGTGTTGCCATTCCTTAACGTTTACTTTTGATAGAAGGGCGATGGAGCAGTTTGTTGAGCATGGCCTGTGGAATGTTTTGTTGCATAAACACACGGATGAGGAAATTTTTGAATTTGGTTCTCTCTTACTTATCTGCCAGTTTCTATGTAACGAGAGCGCGGATTCCTACCTCTAGGGCTTCTGCTTAAGCTAAACGTCTTTATCTCGCAAAGATGCAAAACTGAAGGCCGGTTTGAAGACTTCTGCTGTCGCTCCTAATCTCAGACTTCCATTCCATTAGCGTATGTGGACATGCTGAGATCTGTTGAGCACAATGCAGTCTCATGATAACCATTGCATAAGGTATTCTGCTGAGCACAATAAGAAGAGATGTAACTTAAGAGCAGATTTGGCCGCTTTCGCGTCGCAGACATGTAAGGAATTGCCCGGAAAATGATGACAAGTTTTGACGTACCAGAACGAATGAATTCGAGTCTAATTTGAATCATCGCAATGACGGTTTTCTACACTTGACCTGATTCCATACCAGATAGTCTCCCGTTGATCCACAACTTTGCTTCAATATCGTCACACTCGCGTCCTATGCGTAAGCAGTATAAATACAAATAATACATTTATGTTAGCTGCATCCACGCCTTATGTGTATTCTGTCGAGCTCTACGCCTCATCCGTTTAATAAGACTTTGTAAGCGTTATTTGTGCTTTGAGGAATATAAAAATCGCTGGATTTTGGCCACATTACCTGCTTCGCGGGCGTACAAAGTCAACCCGGATTCGATGGCTCAAAAATTGTTCGGTTCTCCGGAAGAAACTTGAAGCGTTGGGTGTATCAAACGCCTCATTATGGTTTTGGCCACCAAACCTCTATACGCTTACTCAAGAATGCACTTTAATCCTACAATGTCACAATTGACAGGCACTCGAGAATTCATCACCACAGCCAAATTTCTAGCCGGGATTTGTGTTAGGTAGCATTTCTTACAGGTGTTCTAAGGGTCAGCCTATGCTTTTGATATTAATTCGTCACAATTTGGCTCTGTTCTGGCTTAAAGCTTGTGCCATTACTTGCTTCGGTAAAGTGAGGGAGAGATCTTTGACTGATCTTTATTTTTATCAGGGCAATACCGCACCACTTTGCTTCCAAATGTGTGAATTGACTCTTCGTCAAGACTTAGTGCTGAATTCGCTCTTGGCTTGTTGCAGCAGTTCACATCGCGACTCTGCACATTCGGTCATGCCAAAATATCGCCATAGTCATATTAACTCCAGCAGCGATAGATGGATTGTAGTGACTTCAATCATTGATCTAAACATTTATGCTGAAAAGGTCATAAAATTGGAAAACCATCAGCTAAACGAATATACTACTGTAAAAATCATCTCGTAGAGCAAATAAGCCGCGAGTGATATGAGGCGTATGGTTAAAAAAGCACGCTTAGATGTGCACGATAATATTCTCAAGACACCATCGCATCAACTCGTTCGCGTCGCACTCGAACTGTGTATCACATCACCCAATTTTTTTATGAACTTTGGATCTTGATAAGGACAGAATGGTGTGTAGTTGCCGTCTACTTTGAAAGTAAGACTGCTATCTCCATCACATGTGTCGGCTTATTCGTTGCACAACAAGTTAAGAAACCTGAAGTCATAACCTATCTCCCATATGTCAGACTATCACATTTCTGATACAAAAGATTTAAGATCGTAATGCTGAAGATACAATTATATGTTAAACCAGCATTTGTCAGAGACCCACACTCTTTTTACCTGAAACCAAGGTTCCGATATAATGTTATAGGTCTGAAATTTTGACAAAATCCTGGATCCAGAGTCAATTTTAACAAGATGATTTGTCTAGCTTAAATGTAGTAAATCTCCACTCACACCATTTCGTATTCAATTTAGTCAAACATTCTCGATTCATGCCTCTCCATGGCCTCGCTCCCAATGTGCATGCTACCGGCCACTACGATGCGTTTGCGATGTGTCTTAACGTTTGTTATCTGTTGTGCGCTGCACTATACAGTTACATATAAAATATTAGGCAGATTTACGAGCATTGAGTGTCAAAAGGTCGATAGAAAGCAAGAGGGCAACAAACTAAATGGATTAAGTGCCATTAGCTAATTAGAAGAAATTAGCAATTTGACAAAAGCTGCAAATGTTCGGCCAAAATTTAGAATATCAAAGTTAAAGGTACTAGTAATATCGCAAACATGTTTAAGCTTGTGCATACGGAACTCATAAATTAACAACCTATAATTTGAGCATATCAATCGTATGTTTCGAGCAATGACACTAACGATTAGGCGGAAGAAAAATGTCATCGTCGTGATGATCATATCGTCTCCAGTGACTTCAAAGTAAAGGCTGCCTTTTGCTCCGATGCTTCTTCACTTTGCAGCAGTGTCTGCACAGCTGCTATTACGCGTTCTCTCTGAACTACTAACCTCAACGCCATGTCCAAGTCATCTTGTGATCGTCTGAGTAACGCTGCGAGAGCTTCAGCTGCAGCCACACGCACCATTGAGTATTTGCCATCTGCCACACCAAACGATCCACAGCAGCTATCAATTACACGCTCTAGCACACTTTCGCCCTTATGAAGCTCTTCAGCTCGCACTCGCTCCGTAAGCGCAGCTAATGCTCGAAAAATGGCTTTGCGGACACTCCAGGCAGCAAAATGGGGGGACTCGACACTAGCACACAGCCACAATATGGTCTCCGCACAGCTTTGCGTGCCTTCAATATCCGTGATATATTGTGGAGCTGATTTTGGCCACATGAGAGCCAGGGCTTCAAAAAAGCTCTTAATTAGTAACGGGGGCAGCAATTGCTTGCTAGAGACATTGACATCGGTCGTGTCTGTAGTAATCCAGTTGGCAAACGCACTTCTCAATGATCGTACATTGGATTCGCGTAAATTATTAAACTCAGCTGGTAGCAACGCGGTAAACTTTCCCAGATTCTCGATCGCTTTTTCAAGATAAGCCAAATCTTGATTTTTCCATGCACGAACACACTCATCTATAAAGAGTAGCGACAGCGTCACTATCCAATCTTCAGTATTTTCGCCTTTGCTGCTATTAATCATTTTAAGAGCCGCCAAGGAAACAATTGACTCCAAGACGACGCCCTTACCTCTCCAAAGACGACCCGGCACGGAGTCAATCAGATTTTGCCAGATTTGCTCAACTTGATCCATTGATAGACGTAAACGGTACGCGGAACTTGCGAAAAGCGCTTGCAAAGCGTGAGCTGCTTGTCGACGCGTATCCCAAGCCGGATGTGCCAGCAGCAGAGCGATTGCTCGAAGAAGAGCATTTAAGGAGTCCGAGGCATATAGTATAGTAGGCGGTAATTCATCCAGTACTACTGTCCACGATATTTTGAGAGCATCTGTAGCAGCAAACTGACCTATGTAAGCAGCGGGGAACACATGAGTGCAGTACCACTTGTTACGCAAATCGTCAGACACCACTGTTGCTGCATCAGAAATCGGCGGAACCTTCTGTACTAGCTGGTTTGTTGCGAGTGCACAAATTAACAAATATCGACTGGTGTAAACTTGATTAGACTTTGACTTGACTTTTTTAGCATTCTCGCTGCCGATCACTAATCTTTCGTGACTTAGGCTTTCAGCAATTTGACTTGACGTATTAAAAGCGAAGATACCAGAATGAACATAATCATGTATTGTGGTAGCATCCACCAAAGGACATAAGTATGCAGCAGCTCGACAATAGCTTTGAATGACTAATCCATCCGACAATACTGATGTCGCTGTCAAATGCGCGTCATTCTGTTCAGTTGAAGTGCTAACGATTCCGCCACCGTAGCGACTCTCTTCGTCTCCGTATTGATCATTTTCGGCTGCAGTCTTCGCACCAACATATGGAATAAATACACGACGCAGCAACAACTCGGCGCCGTTGCACTTGCGTAGTTCATGTGAAAGCTCATTTGCAAGTGTAACGACAAAGTTGGCACTTCCAACTCGAGTATTTAGTCCAACACCGAATTTGAGGAGGTTTATCACACCGTGAATGAGCTCAGAGACCGTCGTTTTACACGCTGATGTTTGAGCAAGCTCCTTTAAGCGATTGGTTGTCAATTCTAGCAGTTGACCAACAGGTCCCGCCTGGCTGATTGAAACACGCAAACGCTCCAATTGATCCTTCTTCTCCACGTGGAATTGCGCGTACTGTAGCTCTGGCATTTCCAACGAGGACAAGAACTCAAGCAACTTCAATAACAGTGGCGCCAAATGTTCTTGCATATCATCGGTCTTAAGGATCTTGACAAGACGTAACAAGATGTCAATACTCAGTGCCCGACAAACAGTATTCTTGCTTACAATTCCATTATTGACCAGAAAATCCAAGAGTTGTGAGCGACACTGTGCATCGCTTGCGGCCACGCGCAAGCTTACCTCGCCTAAGGTACGATAAAGCTTCATGCCCGAAAGCGCGACTGATTCCATGACATCGTCTACCGCACGTGATGCCGTTTTCCAGATTCGTGAAAATTCATCTTGTAATTTGTATGCCTCAGCACCATTGAGTAAATTTACAAGAGCAAGGCATGCAGCTTCCCGGTATTTAGCATTCCGAGCGTTCTCCAGTCGAGTTAATGAAAATTTAAAAATAGGAGCCCAATTCTGTCGAAGCATCGTGTCTTCGCCATCAGATGCCGAGGCAAGTTTCTCTTTTGCAAAATTCCACAAAGTGCCCATGATTTCAGCTACTTTACTGTTAGAATGAAATTTCAGCAGGAACAACCAAGGTATTAGTTTTGTCTTGCAGAGATCATCTTTGGTCGTCCATTGACTGCGAGCTCTGGCAACAATAAAAGCGCAAAAATTCTTGTCAGTCACTGCAAACGAGAAGTTGTTCGTCTGGATCAGCTTGAAAGAAGTAGATGATGAGGCATTGATTTCCCATATTGGGTTTTTCGTGCTTATGTATAACAGCTCGTACACAAGTTGTGCGTCACCAACATCCGCGGCTATATTGCTAACCTCGCGGTACGCAGCATTTTCAACATCGGGATCCGAATTTGCTTCAGATCCAATAGTAGAAGCGGCAGAACCATCTCGTCGCCCAAGAGACCGTCCGTTTTCATTATCATCAGTTACATCAGCAGAAGATCCAAAAGCTCGAAAGCATCGTAGTCTGCGAAATAAATTGTCGCTAAACTGCGTACCCATGTCGTTAGTCGGTGCACGCAGCCGCAAATAAGCAAGTCCTTTAATCGCACTTTCATTTGAGACTGCATTTGCATCATTAAGCATTGTCACAAAAAAATCGTGTGCCTTCAACATTACATGAGAGTAGGCAGAAAGGCCAAAGACGTATTCCCACGACGTGGTGGGCACAATTCCGGAGGGTGAACCCAGACCTGCCGCACACATACATAGAAGCCATATTGTTGCGCTACGACGAACTTTAAGCTGTCGGGAGCCAGCACATTCGACCAAAATGCGCTCAACGATAACAAGAGCACGATTTTCTGCAAAAAAATCGACTTGGGTATTGCGATTAGCAGCAAACTTTTCAACACCATGATTCCCGAGCGAAACAAGACATTCGCCTACATGGATGTGTAGCTCGGGATTCGTTTCATCCTTCAAACTAATCAGGGCGTTTAAAATTTCTTCATGGCCAACATGGTCCTTCGAGGAGGTGTTGATGCTTGGTAAACCCGATGCGATTCGGCCAAGATTCTCGATTGCTACTTGCTTTAAAGCTGACAGCTTTGAGCGCAGCTGGTCATCGATATGGGCAGATCGAAGCTTCCACTCAACTACACGCCTCATACTGTCAAGCACTTTGATCTTCAAGAAGCTCCACTTACTGGCATCCAAATTCTGCATAAGACCTATCAGGTTCCCGCTGAGACCAATGCCATCCAGGATACTACGAAGCAGTTCCACGAGGTCATTCTGAGCATGCTCACTCTTAGGGTAAGATGCAAATTTCGACCCTTCCTGGACCTTCAATTCCAGAATTTGTGACATCTTCTCATAGCAAGACAGAAGCAATTGCGATTCTTCATTCATCAGCGCATCCTGTAGTGGGGAGTTCTCGCCGAGGTAGCCTATAGCACTTCCTAGAATATATAGTGCCCCCAAAAACTGATTGTCAGAACAAGTGTCTGCATCAAGCTGTTCGATGCCAGTTTTAACAATTTCTTTAACCAGTTGGCTGACCGTGAACGCCCCGGCACTGCATGAATACCTGACAATGGTCGAAATATTTAACAAATACGCGCGATCTTGGCTTACAGCAGCAAGATTATAAATGTCTTTCACTTGATCAGCCAAAATGTTACCCACGCTTAGAGCGTCAAGCTCGCACACTTCCACCAGTGCAATTGCTGTCGATTTGTAGACTGATATATGTGTTCTTGGCATGTTGCTCGACTCTGTTGGCCCCAAAAGTGTTTGTAGCATATATTCCAGGACGCATCTGTGATCGTCAGCATCTACTTGGCTGCTGTCGCCCGTTATGGAAGCTTTTAAAATCTTAAGGCAAAACTGCACACAACATTCAGCAGCCCCCGCATCTCTCATGTTCACCTTCAAATCCTTAATAGGAAACGAGTCTTTAAGATACCTCGCCACTGCACCTACAGATGGCAACGGATTTGCAAAAAGGGCCTTATCAAGCAAACTCCGCGTGTCGTCATCACAATCTTTTCTTAGCCGTAACACAGCAAACCGCAATGATACATCCCCAGTTGATGAGGCCGTTAACAGCTCAGCACACCAAGCAGCGATAGCAGCTCGTACACGTATATAATTATGACTACTATCAAAAAGTTTTGAGCCGTTTAGCAATGCAGTAAGCTCGTGTTGAACTTTGTCTCGCACTTTCGGCGTGGCAGCTGTCGCATACGTACATGCAAAAGTGGTGAACGTCTTTAAAGCATTAGCACCAGCACCAGTGCGATGCTCTTCTTCCGCAAGGCAGCGCACAAGCAACACTTGAAAAGCCTGCTCTGACGCTGCGACTAATGTCGGCGTACGAATTGCTAATCCTGACAACGTTTCATAAATACCCTGACGAAATTCGTTTAGGAAAATGATACTTGATGCTTCACTCTCGATATGCGGATCAAGCAATAATCGTAAAAAGGTTGGCAACATGATAGGGCCGAGCAGATTTTCTACCACCGGTTGTTGACATTTTTGTACAGTCCACTGACATAAATGTACGCTTGCCAACTTTATCTTGCTTGCCACATTTGGCGGTCTTGACGGTTCAGTTCCGAGCATTAAATGGCACAACAATTGCAATATTGTAGGTACAACGTTTGTTGCTGCTACAGAAAGTGATAGAAGTGGCAGCGTCTGCAGTATGCTCGCATCGGCGAAGCGTGTTCGTTCAGCTATCAGGATTGAATCACGACATTCAAATGCATTAGAATCCATGGCCACTTGACTTCCAAGCACTAATGTCATCAATCGGCGCATTAAAGCTTCGTCCTCCAAATACTGTTTTTCATACTTCGTCACACGCGACGACTGCTCCTCACTATATACTTTTACCGCATGATTAAATGAAGCACAACCAGCAAGATAGATAGGAAGTTTGAGCTTTGTGGAAACAGCAATTTGTTTTACAAACTTCAATGCACACAGTTGGCGTTCGTAAAGAATCTCGCGACAAAGTTCCGTCACTTTGACTCTTTGCAGTCGCTCCAGCCGCAATGGCATCAACCCATAAGGCACAGAACCTACAGTGGCGGACGACGGTGGCTCATACAGTACCAAATCCATCAAAAAGTCAAGCACCACGTGGACGTTTGAATCATTCTCGTACAATTGCTCCACCGTATTGTTAGTCAGCGATGTTACATCCTCTCCCAACCCATTTTCACTTCTAGCTTCTTTCTTTTGCCTTAGAAAAAGATTAGAAGGATTTATAGGTAGCGCGCGTATCAGCATTCTAAAAACTGCCTCCTGATTACTATTCGAGACACTTGAAATCTTCTTGACAACTGCTGCCAAGACTTTTGTCTGCTCTTCCGTCGATGCAACCTCAAATCCAATCTCTACACATGCATAAAATCACTATGTTGTCAGCTGTTAAAAAAAAGAGTGGACATAGGAATAGTAAATGTCGTTTTCACCTATAAAAAGTAGAGTAAAGTTATACGAGAAGACGGAAAGCTCATCTTGCTGTAGCAAATTGCAAAGGGCATCTAGTGGTAACACAGGATGAGCCAGCGCCTGGAGTCGCTTTTTAATGTGTGAAATTACTTGAAGAATCTACTGAGAACGAGTTTTTTGTTAGCAAAGAATCATCTAGTAAGTGTAGATAAATGCACCTTATCCCTTAGCTGCAGTTCTGATGGCGTCACAACGGAGCGTGGAAAGAGCAAAAGTAACTGAGGAAGAAGTAATTGTAGAACCTGATGCATGCGCTCGTCATCTGCGCTGGCTAGGCGGAACAGCACGCGGTCTAACGCATCCACATCTTTCTGCAAGTCTGACATTTTATGATTACGGGTGTACCATACTTAATTAAAAACTGGGTAAATCATGCTCTAATTTGAACATTCTCATTAAGCAACTAACTGGTTATTGCACTGTCTCGTGAGAAAGAAACACAAATTTGTCGTGAGAAAAAACAAGATGCGCCTGGATTCAAAAATGCCTTGGACTAACATTTGTGCTCTCAGCACGTGGAAATGAGCAATAGACTTATGACGGTGAATCGTTTGTGACCAAACCTTTCGCGTCAAAGAAGTGTATTTACTATACCTACCTTTTTCGATTCTTCAGCAACTTGTATGTGCAAACCCAGAACGGGTCGCACATCTAAGTTGAGGTATTTATCGTTGGCCGAACATTCACTTGCCTAAGAATTTCTAGCTAAGTATTCTACAGCTCTGTGTTACATATACAATAATAGCAACGATTGACGTTGTGTTGATGAGCGCTGGTGATGAATTTAGCTACGATGTAGACCAGTCATTCCCTAGCAAAAGTCAATGCGGAGACCTATTAAACCGCCTTGTGTTACCAAAGCACAAATAGACTCTATTTACAACAAAACTCCAATCAGGCAGTTTTACTGGTTGCACGCAAGCAACCCGATGCAATCTCTTCGTCTTCATGTAAACGCTTCTTTCTCTTCTTCTTAGAGCTTTCCACTGAGCAAAAAAAGAGATAAAAAGTAAGTATCCTCTTTGAGCGCTTACTCGTCTTTATCCAAACCTCGTGGATTTTCGCTGTTGTAAAAATTTCGAAGTAGTGAGATCGCTTCGTCTTTGAGGATGCCTGATACGCATGGAAAGCCGCGGTGACATTTGCTTTCTGGTAATGCGCTGCACCCACGGCAAGCCGATCAGCATACTTAATGTAGCTTTGCATGCCAAAATCAGCTTTTACCTGCGCTTGTGTAGGTTGAGCACGGAGCCACAACCTCCAAATCGGTCGTTATGGCATCCAAAGTACACATGTTTTATAGAAATAAGCGCGAGCGCTCCTGCACACATTATACATGGCTCACACGTCACGTACAACGTGCAATCAGCTAGTACTTCACTTGCTTGATCGCTGTATTTGGCTGCGATTGAATCAATTGCCACGATCTCGGCGTGCATGGTGGCCTGCAGTCAGCATCAGCATACAAGCTATTTGTTATTGTATGCAAATGATTACACGGTGGCGAATAATGAGCGTCTTCACATTGTAGAGCTCGTTGACGCGATTTGATGCACGAGCGATAATCTCGCCCTTGTAGACGAACACGCAACCGACCGGTACCTCTGCTCGGGTTAGAGCTTTCTCGCCCTGTAATACACATTTTTGACAGATCTTTAGATAATGGAAATTCAGACATAATTAATGACTCTAGGTCACGCACTTCAAGAAGAGCTTCTCGCATAAAGCGCTCATGCTTATCCACGACCATTCACAGAAATACTGATTGGGTTACAAAAAATGCAATAAACTAATCGGTAACGTAATGCACAAAACACAAAAAACATCAAAAGTATGAACAGCAAAACATACTCTAGATACCTAGGACCTTCAATGTTATAATTGTTATACTGGACATGATTTGGATCGATGCAGGTCAGGCAAGGCAAGAGCTGTTGAAACTTAAAACTCAGAAGCTTGTAATATGTACGTATACAAAAACATGGAAACAAGAAACAAAGTTATCTTCGACACCAAAATAGAATTGCCAACATAGCGATAGAGCATGCCGGGCGTTAGCAATTGCATCATTTTGCGATGAAAATTACACACTAACATCAACAAATGTATAGTGACGACAATATCACACCGTTCCATACTCTGACGTGGTCTCGAAAGTAAAAGGCTTAAATTCAATACTGCTGATGGGAGTCCTTGAGCTGCAATGCAATAAATCAATAAATATTTCCCGTTTGAAAACTAAAAAGAGCTACTCACACTTTCCATCGGACGATGTAGATGTATCGCAGACTATCGACGAACACTAATATCGGAAAAACAGGTGTCACGACGATTGCGACAGCACGCAGTTCGTTAAATATTTCTTGGGTTTCTTCAGGATATGTTGCTTGTTTAAAGATAAGGCCACATAATACCCAGGTGACAACAAGACCTACAACCGGATCGTGACCATGGACATATGTGCCAAACGCCAATACGAGCAGCAATCCCAGTAACGTTGCGTAGAGACTAAATCCAAAAAAGCCTCCATGAAGATATTCCATAACACTAGCAATGCTGAAGATCGCATCGGTACTTAGCCAGCCGAAGTAGAGGCGAATGGAGAACTCGCTACAGAAGTAGTAAATCCAGGCCTGAGAGTATCTTGGCGTAGCGTGGCGCACTACAAAAAGGTAGAGTGGCAGCACCGTACACCAAAGCACAGCAAGTGCAAATGCAGCCATATGCACCCAGCTGAACCACATGTCAAGCGCTACCCATGCCATGTTGGCCAAACACGCAAGCTGGAACCATTGCCGTAAGAACTTTGGGTCGTCGGATGTGATAAAGAAACTATATGTCGGGTAAAAACAGTCAGTGATCACGGTCATGCCCATGAAAATGTAAATGAGCACCCAAATTAAGAGCACATAAGGAGGAGGTGCCAGCAAATTGGTCGGCGTCAGCGTGGAGGCTGTTGGCCTCTCCACAGCTAGCGATCCACTACTGTCCAAAGCTCCAGCAGAAGAGTCGTGGGCTTTAGAAGGAGCCCATGATCCTTCAGGCGCGAAAAGAAAGACACCAATAGAAACTGCAACTTGAACGATAAAAAGGAAGACGTTGGCGCCAGCGAGATGCCAGCCGGGCGCTTCTGGACCCACCATGCGGATATTACTTTTAATCAAAATATATATTACGTAATGCAATGAGTCGTAACTGGAATACTTCGATTTATAAAGATGAGTAATCACTGAGCCGAAAGTTAACCATATACCCTTTAAAGTTAGCGAATCAACAGCTGCAAAACAGCCGAAATAATAGGATGTGATAACACGAGGGGACAAGACGGTGTTTCGACCAGCGGACACAACCTTTCGTCACGTCGACAGTTCAGATCACCTCGTACCTGATTTTCATCATTGTCCAGCTCATCACAACTCGCTGCACAGATACTCACGTCACTGCATTGCCTGGTTTAACTGCTTGTAGCTTGAAAACATAGAGTAACAGCGAAGCTTCGACATCAGCAAAAGTGGCACCCACCACGTGACCGCTTGCTAGTACAAGCCATCGGCTACATAGTCTCTCACCGTTAGTCGCTGGGCTTTGCAGCTTGTGACAAATCAGCATGTATAATGTCAGTGATAAGCAAATTATGCGTAGTCCGGTATCGTCTTCAATTTTTTAAGGACCATGTTTCTTTGAACAGACATTCGAATTTTCCTCGTATTATCTATCAGGCCCGCAATTTATGTATCCTTTGTACCGGCAGTGCCATTTATTATCGATGTAACGTGATCTGGCAGGCACCCATCATAATTCATCAAGTAGATTAGAAAAAATGCTGTAATATATGAATTTGGAGCTACCCCCTATTCTAAATTACTCAATATATTTGAGATATAAAAGCCCTTAACATTGCAATCCAAGCCGTCCAGTTTCCACTTCAACCTTGTACTATGGACACGTTCGTTTTTGTCTACGGAACCCTCAAGCGTGGATTTATCAACTATGAGCGATACCTTCACCCGGCAGAACTCGCAGGCAAGGTTGAATTTATAGGAACGGGGCTTACAGCTTGCGCCGAATTCCATCTGGTGCTAAATCCAGACCGCTCCGTGCCATGTATGTACCGGGCGAACGTAGATGGTTATCAAGTTCCAGGGGAGATTTTTCGAGTGGATGCAGATGCACTCATGGCGCTTGATATATTGGAGGCCATTAAAGACAACTATTATGTGCGCGAGGAAATTCAAGTTAGTATTGTCGAAGGAAAAATGATGCACCAGACTATTACATGCCAGGTGTACATCATGCACGCTCGAGAGGAATTGCTCAAGCTCAAGCGCATCCCCGAATACACCCTAGCCATGCACAAAACGTATCAGTCGCGTACGCAAGTGCCCGATCTTGAGGTGTTAAAATGCCTGTTTGGCGATCGTGTGACTGACGCTGTGCAATGCAAGATAAACGAGGGTATGAATTTTATTACTGCCTGGAAGGCAGTGACAGGAACTCTCGGACAGAGCGGGAAATGAAACTGCTGATCATGTTTTGCTCAAATTGACGAAGGTGTAAACGGATGAAAGAATACGCTTTTTAATGTTAACATTTCAGTCAAGCTATTTCGTAAAGATAATGTCTGAAGCGATGTGACGTTGTCCTCAGCATATATTTTGTTGCTAAGCAACGATGTTTGTTAGATCAAAGATTTACTGGTAAAATTCAATGAGGTAACACTTAACAGCGTTTTCTTCGCTAACTGAGTGTTCTTCACTTTGAGCTGCATCCTTTATTGCGATGATTTGTTGGTGCACTTTATACTGAGTATGCGCTCCTGTGCGTATCGAAGAACGATCAAGCTTTGGGGGCCTCTCAGGCTAGTCTCAGTCTTCAAATGTTTTTATCTTGTGGCTAAGCCTAGAATAGGTTGCTCTTCGCAGGCTGTTCTACACGTTTCGATTCCTTACTTGTCATACTTGAATGGTTTGGCTCGCAGGTTGCACTTTGCAATTTTGATTCAAAATCTTAATGCATAGCAAAACTTAGAATGCTTGACATGCTGATACGTCAGCTGTCCAGCAACGAACTGCACTACTTTATCAGCGATACAGTCACCATTTGCTGTGAATTTAACAAGGCAGCATCGACGCGTAGTGGACCTTCTATATAATCTCATCGATGTAAACATAAGGAATGACATTTTGAAATTTAAGATTGTTGAGTACGGCAAGTTCATCGGTAATTATTTCTACCGAGATTGTTCGAGTTTACGCATGGGTAGTGCCGTAATTAAGAGGTTTCTCGCCATATAGCGGAGCGCTTAATGGCAGCGAAAGAAATTGCCTATTGAAAGCATACGACGTTAGCATATTTAAATTCTTCGTCACTCTTTTATCAACAAATCGTACGTGGTGGGGTCCAACAACTTGCGTGCGAACGAGATAACAATGAAAGCAACAAGAATCGCGGCACTCTGTAGAGCACACGCGTGGACATTCATCGCGATAAGTTCAATGTGCTCTGCCAGTGAGGTTTTCTTGACAGCAAGGCCAATAAATGCCCAGATAGCAACAAGACCAAATGCGATGTCACCCTCAAAGATGACAGTGTATAGCGCGCCAATCGACAGCAGCGACAACAGCGCCAAATATGTTGTGAGTGATAGATAGTCGCCAGCTACGTACTGGAATGTGACGGCGAAGCTGATGACCATGGCAGCGGAGGTCCAAGCAAAATAGACGATAATTCCAAGCTCGCTAAGTACATACCTCTTAGCATTAAAATCAGCATCACGGCGCTCCGCGGTAATATGTAAGTAAAGCACAAAGAGTGAGGACCATAGGATCACGATTGTGACGGTAGCGAAATTCACGTATTCGCTGGTGAAGAACAGTAAATACCCCATGTTCATAAGACACGAAACAGCGAAAAGCGCGCGCATCACGTTGGCATTAGGGGCACTCTGGTAAAACGAGAACGAGGGCCAGAAGCAGTCGACAACGACGGTAATAGCTAGGAGCGGGTAGATAAAACTCCAGATGCTAAACGCGTACGGCGCAGGCGTGATCAGTGTCTCGTAGCGACGCGACATGGGACCAATGTATCGTGCTGCATTTCCATTTACAATGAGCTGTATCACGTAAAGCACCAGATTCACCCACGAGAGCAACGCCGTCATATTTAAATCAGACTTGTGGTGCTGACTAGAGAATAAAAATACTAGTCCTCAAATTTTTGACAGAAAATTAATTCACGAATTTCTCTTCACAATTTTTGTACGAAATAAATATACTGGCATTCTAATATGACGTTATGGACGCTTAACAACGCTTAGTCGGTCTCTTTGCTTGTGATGCACAGGCGCATGAGCCTTAGTTTCATCGTAAATTTGACCGGTAAACACCACACAATACGGCAAAACTTTCATATATAAAAAAAACTGAGAAGGAATTGCCGTAAACTTAGCACATAGGAAGTCAAGACAAAGCCCGGGACGTTGTATCAACAACCAACAGACCTGCGGCACCGAGGGTGTATATCCTAGGCTCAATGAGCACAAACGTCGCACTCCGCGCACGCTTACAGTGCCGAGTGGCCTGAGAATGTGGTCGACTATGAGTCTGACACCTCTTTTCCCGCATGGGATGACGAGGAAGGCGA